CACGGAGCCCCATACCTGCTCGCCAAAGCAGTGAGTTAAAATCGGAACCAGGCTCCCTTTTTGCAACCGATACATGTATGAGAACTCCTCCTGGACATCACAGGCGATCAGGAATTCCTTGGAGGGCAAAGGATCCAGCTGCAGACGTGGCAGGAGCGTCCTATATGCCTGGCAGAAGGGAAGTAAAATAAACATAAACTTCTAAGAAGTGAGCGGGCAGTTTAGGCAAGGAGAGCGAGATGCAGCGAGGGGTCAGGAGGAGGACGGGGAGCAAATTCCATGACCTGCGTATTTAAAATGGTTTGCTCCTAGCAGGGGAAAGGATAAAATTTCCCCAACCTTTCGAAGAGATTCCCCGCCTTTTGCAGATGGCTTTCTTAGCTGCGGCACCACCGAAGACCAATCCTGCTGCTTGGTGCTCATGAAAACAAAAACCCCAAACCTGCCCCCAGGTAAAGAAAGAAGGTGCAGAATTTACCCCCAGAGTTTGGCAGCTGTTCTTCTTCTGTTGGCAGGGCCAGTGCGGCTCTTGCTGGGCGTTTAGCTCGGTTGGCGCTTTAGAGGGGCAGCTGAAGAAGAAGACGGGCAAAGTGCTGAACCTCAGCCCTCAAAACCTCGTTGACTGCGTCACCAGCAACAGCGGCTGCGGTGGGGGATACATGACCAACGCCTTTGAGTACGTGAAGGAGAACCGGGGTATCGATTCGGATGATTCGTACCCCTACATTGGCCAGGTATGGTCCTTCCTCCCATTTTAGCCAACGTAGCTGTTCAAAGTTCCTCTTGTTTTGTGGCTCGCAGCCGCAGATAAAACATTCCAATTAAAACGTCGGTGGCGCGTTGCTCAATTGTGGCAAATAGGACAAATAATGGGGGCGGCCCGGGGTTTTGATGGAGACTGTCCAGACGCCAATGGGCTGAGCGACACTCCGGTCATCCTCGTGAATGGAATATGCTGGTGGAAGATTTGGGGAGCTGGAGAAACGGCTTGGAGGGCACTCGGTGAGGAGAGCGTTTGCCTGGGAGAGGGAACTTGCCAGAGCCAGGAGACCTGAAGGGCATGAAAGACGCAGAGTTTGGGGCCAGAGAGTATTTGTTTATAGGGGAAAGAAGAGCTGACGTGCAAATCCACCCTGTTTCCCACTTGGTAGGATGAAAATTGCATGTACAACCCCACTGGCAAGGCCGCCAAGTGCCGCGGTTTCAGAGAGATCCCGGAAGGAAACGAGCGGGCTCTGAAAAGGGCCGTAGCCCGGATCGGCCCCGTATCTGTGGGCATCGATGCCAGTCTGTCCTCCTTCCAGTTCTACAGCCGAGGTGAGTCAGGAAGGACGCAAGGGCGGGGTGAGACGGGGAAGCCGTCCTGCGCAGTTGGGACACGGGAAGCCACGTTGGAACGATCTTCTCTTGCATCAGTGGAGTATTTTCTGTAGGTTTCATTTTGCTTCACTTGCCCCCCGAAACCTTCCACATCCTTCTGTCCATGTTCTTCTGTGCCACCCAAGGGCCTTCATTCATTGGCGTTTGAGAAAGGGAGCCTTATCTCACCCCACGCCAAGGAAGATCGTGACCTGGCAGAAGAAACAGCAGGAAAAAGGAATTTGGCTTCTCTAGAACTTCTCTTTCTGATTTTCCCAGGTGTGTATTACGATGAAAACTGCAACGCTGGCAACATCAATCATGCCGTCCTGGCAGTGGGTTATGGAACCCAAAAGGGCACCAAGCACTGGATCGTGAAAAACAGGTACCGCTCCTTTTTCCCCCCAGCTTGATGTGAGAAATCATATTCTGGGGCACAAAACCCAGAGCAGCCTGTTGAGTTCTTCCTGGAAAAATTATTCAGCAAACTCTGCAGATGAGGGAAGTGGCGTTTACTGGCATTTTGAAGCCGCTGAACTTTCCACCATGAAGTCGGGTGACCGAATGGAGAAGCGCAGTGGAGATTTCTAATTCTAACCCTGTTTTTCCCACAGTTGGGGGGAAGAATGGGGTGACAAGGGCTACGTCCTCATGGCCCGGAATATGGACAACGCCTGTGGAATTGCCAACTTGGCCAGCTTCCCAAAGATGTGAGCTACGCCGGCCAGATCCGTGCGAGATCCTCCTGTTCCTTTGTCGGCCAACGGCTGGATTCCCGAGCTGACGAGAAGGACCGGTGACGCAGAAGACAGCCATTTTGCTTCGTAGGCGGTGCTGAGAACGTATTAAAAACATTTCCTTCCGGGTTTTTTTACACAAAATGTCGCTGCGTTTGTTCTCTGCCCAAGCTGGAGAAATGCGTTCCTAGGAGGCGTAACCTTGCCTTAAAGGCGAATAGAAAAACCCAGATGTAAAACAACACAAATATAAAAAGACTTTGGTCTTGAAGTTTTTGTTTGGCTTCCAAAGTGAGAATCGAGATGCATCTTGGAGGGAGAGGGAGGGATTTAGGGGCATTGCTGTCTCTTTTCATCCATTGTTTGAGGAGGGTATAGGAGAATCCTTAAGCTCAGGATGTTCTCTTTCACCTGCCCACCATTTCTCGTAAGATCTGCTGTTGCAAATTGGGTTGAATGGGTGGGTGCCAGCCTCTTGGTGGAACTGGGTTCGGGGCTGCACAATTTGGGTGTCAGATTGTCCTCTTCCTGTGAATCCTGTATCTTGATCCCTGCTAGAAGTTGGGGGGAGCAGCAAAGAAGGCCAGCCTTGGGGCCACACTCCTCTTAGCAGAGAAAGAGGAAGCCTGTTTCCCAGACAGGCTGTGGAAGTTATTATGTGGAGAAGGAATTATTGGTCCCGGAACACGGATGAGTCCTTTGCCCCCTAAGAAACAGGAACAGCTTTTACAGACCTGCCTTCAACTGTGCAAACAAAGAAGTTTTGCCCTGAATAAGTGCATTGTCCAAATAGCTACAGAATGTATTTAAAAGCGAGATATTGGCAAGGGCCAGAAAGTTTAGTGAAATACTTTTAATTGCTTTTTTCTCCTGTGCCTGGGTATAATCTTCTCGTTACCCACACACAAAGGGAGACTGACTTTTCAGGAAGGGAGGGAGGAATGGGGAAAAAAGTGTGATGATTCACCCCCTTTTAGCTGCTGGTATCATTGCAATATGTTGGACTGTAGGAGGAGAGCTGTGGGAGTCCCAGCATCAGGAATCTGGTAGCCCCTTTTCAGACGAACAAGAGTGGAATGAATGGTCTAGCTCGATGTTTCTCCATCTTGGCCACTTTAAGAGGGGTGGACTGCAACTCCCAGAATTCCCCAGCCAGACTAGGTTGCGCGGGGAATATGGGGAGGGCTATCCACCCCCCTTAAATAGGGCCAGAAGGAGAAATAACGGGCTAGATAAATCATTT